GCAAGCAGCTTCTTTTTCCCTGCCTTACTTTGTAAACAGACTACCCCCACCTAAGGGGCGTGTAGCTCTCACATAATCTTTGCCCTCCTCTTCCACAGGCTCAGGATGTATACAAAGTAAGTATCCTGGCTTCCTGCTGAGTCACTTAGCCAAACCTCTAGACTCCCCAAGTTGACACAATGTTTCAACCATAACAGAGGGTGTTGCTTACACTATAACTTCTAGATTGTTCCTTGAGGCCATGATCACCACACCCAGGCATGGCCTCAAGGAATCTGGCTATGTCTCTTTCAGAGTAGTGAGGGAGCTTGTCTTTTGCGGGCCTTGACGGAGAGAAAGGAGGTGATGTTAGCAACTTGCTAATAGACTGAACATGCCCAGCTCTGTCTGGGCTCTTGCCTCCTCCTTCCCCTTCCTGGACCTCTCCTCCTCCCCGCCTTCCCTCTTCTTTCCTCATTAGAACCCTCTTGCCCTGACTTAACATCATTTAATTGGTACCTACCAGAGGACACCAGTCAAAGCCCATGAAATGAAACCTTCTTCTGCAGTGTTACATTTGTGATTTATGAAAAGATTCTTCTTCATTAATTAACACAAAATGCATAGTTGTGTGGCAGAAGAGCAGGAGAGGTGGAAAGGATTAGGGATTGACAGAGACAGCAATTAGGGACAACTGGAGTGGCTTCTGTGACTAGAGAATGCCATCAGTGAGGGCTATGCCCATTTATGTACTGTAAACCTCATTAACATGTGGTGTCTCCCCCTTTGCCCAGGGTACTTACCATTAAATTAGCTACACTCCATGGTAATCATGCTTGCCCCTCTATTCATACAGGGAGCTTCACCTGAGGATCAGTCCCTGGCTTGCCATGGCGGCTTTACACAACACCAAAGCACAACTGGAGGCTTTAGATGCAGGGACTAAGGGTTTGCAGGCGTGGGTTTTGAACCAAATTGGGGCAGCCACTGACGCTCTACCAGATTCTGAGGTGGCTTGCCTTGCTTCTGTCTCTTGGTAAGTACACATGCCATGCCTCAGAACACAGACTCTTCACGACTCCTAATAAAAACCTGCTATGCCAATACACAAAGAGACATAAAGGATGCTTTCCCAGAACCACCAAGAGATGTGAGAATGTGCCCTTCAGTGCTGATCACCTCTCACAGAGGACCTCTTCTTCTCAGCCTGGGTAGTAATGGACCTAGGGCTTGGGTTTCTAATGGAAATTATCTCCAGAAGCAACTTAGCTTGGTCATGACACTGTCCTTCTGGGTTACTCCTTGACAAAATTTTTTCAAAGTCGGTCCTCTAAAATGTACAAGGCGACCACTATCCAGAGGCAGACATGGTCTTTCATTTCCACTCGATGTGCACCACCTGAAACAGAACTGTGGATAATAGATAATGACCTGATTCTGGCCAACAGGGAGAACAACAAGCTGGGGAACCTGCTGTTTGACATTTCAAGGTTGCTCATGCATAGTGGAGTTATTTAGTGATAGTGTGGAAATGTCCTTGTCAGTAGTTTAAATAAAAATTGTGCAGGTGCCCATTGAAATCAGATTGGAAAATACTATACATAGGATTGGTAAAATACTTCTCCACAGAGTTATAATGGACGATGAAATGGTGATGCTAATGATAACACTTCTAAGCACAGTTGAGTCTACCGCCTTCTGTGACCCTCACAACAATCCTGTAGGGTTGTTTGGGCTATCTGTTTTGCCAAGAGGGTAGGTGATTCCCAAGGGTGCAGAGCCAAGACCTGTTGGAGCTGGTCCTCCAAGCCACAAGCATTTTCTTGAATTCCAGTTCTAGACAAGCTTCGATATTCAACATCTAGAATGGTCGTGAACTAAAGATTCCATTTACATCTTCAATGAACTTCTGCCTCCTTCTCAGAAGGTTTTCCACAGTGCCCCTCAGTAGGCAGGCAGGAGGGTCTTGACCCACCGAGAGGTCATCCACACAAGGGATGATTTTATTCATGGCTCTTCTAGTCAAAGGCACCCATCAGGGAGCTGGTAGATTTGGGTACTATGGCCACTTGGGGCATCCCAGGGGGCCTCTGCAAGCAGGACGATCCTGTGCTGCCTCTTTTCAGTCACATCCTCTTGTTCTCTGACCACAGGTTCCATAGAACTGGCGGGATGCCAGGCCACTGGCCCGAAGCTCCTTAGTGGAACCTGACCGGACCTGCATTTGGCTCTGGCTACTGAGGGTCAGTTTGAGCCTGTAATCCTCTTTCTGAGTTCCTGGCTGTCCCCAGAGCCCCTTTCTTCTCTGGCTGTCCTGCAGAAACTCTCCCCCAAGTATTTCTCACATGGACCTCCATGGATGCCCCAGAGAGGAAGACCATCCCTCCCAGCCTCCATTTGCAGAGCTCATACCACTGATTTAAGTGCTATGGGAGTCTGAATCTCCAACCTACACTGCAAACTACATTTTATACAAAATGTCTTTGTTCTCCACATATTTATTATTTAGTCATCTCATGGATGATTGGAGCTTGCAGCCCTAATTCACTTTTCTTCCTGGCTCCTTTAAAAAGAACAAGAGAACTAGAGAAAAATGCTATCTTTTCCTCTGAGTTAAGAAAATCATTTTTAGTCGGCAGTCACTTGTCTGTTTGTCCTGGCTGTTGGACTGCAAGCTTGTAAAGTGTGGGGCTGAGTCTGGCCGTGTTCATCATCTTTGTCCCCTGATGCTTACTGTAGGGATCCGTATCTGCTAAAGAACTTGGCGTCCACTGTGCCAAGTCAAACAGCAAAGACAATGTCACTTCCCTGTTTGGGGCTGGGCTGGATTGATATTGAGGTCATTTCTGCATTAGGTAAAACTCAAGGGAAGAGGTAGAGCATTTGGAATATTCCTTTTGCACTGAAGGTCCATGGGTGAAAACATGGTCCCAAACTTTACAAACTAAACCTTGTAAATAAACATCTGGGCTCCTCTCCATGTGGTTCTACAGCTTTGGAACAATCAGGTAGGCTCTTTCAGCTCCATGTCCTCATCCGTAAAATGGGATGGTTGACAAGACAATTGCGACAGTTGTGACAATTGTAAATAGACTGTACCAGGAGTCCACATAATCCTAGACAGGATCACTGCTACAACTGAGCAAAGCATGCAAAAGGAGGCTGCGGGGAATAGGCATACTTCCGGAGAGGTTCTTGTGGACAGGCTGTCACCTCCAACAAGGTGGAAGACAGGAGCTGGAGTGGGCAGAGGGATCTTCCTCTTTGCATGCCTGTTGATGTCATTTCTTCTTTCTTCACAGGGAGTGATTTCTGAGCATGAGGATTCTGGGGAACTTCATCTACTGGCTGAGCACAAACTCAGAACAGCAGGGGCCAGAGGAGTTCTGCTGTCACCCGTGCTTGGGCTTGAGGACCCCAATCAACCTGTGGTTAGGAGTGACAGGAGGAAAGCAGGGCCAGGACTGCCTACTTATATGACAGCCAGTTCTGGAACATGAAAGACGGCAGGCACTGGTGGCTGCATCTCTGATCAGTCATATATAATGATATTCTCACTTTGGGTAACCATAATACCTCTAAGTTTTCTATGAGAAACAACAGTAATAATAACTCTGCTTGCTTGGCAAATGGAAGAGGATAGGTATACAGTATTTTTCTATTTGGAGTTTGTAGTGTAAACACCACCATCTTTATTTCTGTCACCTAACTTTTACTTTAATAACACTGTTCCCTTAGAGATGCCCCATAAACCACCCCCTCATTCCTGAACCAGTCTTTGAATTCCCAACACAGAACACTGAGACCCCAGGTTGAGAGGGGTATTTTATGATCAGTTTGAAAATGTTGGTGCAGCTATAAATTAAGAAGTCAAATTGCTCCCATATTGGGTATTGATATACTGCGCACGGTGGAGAAATTTCTCTGCGACATTGCATGCTGCTAGTGGGGGTCTTCATGCCTGTGAACACTGTGTCTAGGGCCTAAGAGAGCTTTGGCCTTTGAGCTTAGGGAGGATGAGATTTTTCTGGTCAGTGAGCCTCTTGATGCTTCCTGGATGCCCCTGGGTGGGAAGAGGTGCTGGTGTTTTTCTGGCTGCATTGCACTAGCCACTCTGTTCAGTACAGTGAGTGCCTGGGCCTGTGTGGTTCTGAAGCCAAAGCCCATTCCAGTCCTTGGCCCACTTCCAAGTTGCTCAGTCACTTTCCTGGTTGGCCTCGGATAAGCACTAAGCCCCTCTTTTCCTGAGCCTCCAACTTTCCATCAAGTTATTTCCAGTTTAGAATAATTTGAACATGTCCAAAGGCAGGGAGGGAGCTGCCTTCCTAAAGAAGCAAGAGGGTGAATCCTTTTGGAAAATGATTTATTCTTTCCAGGCACTCACAACTAGCCAGCAGCTAAGTGGGGCTCTAACATCGAAGGGTGGTTTGTAAGCCAGGCCGGATTTCTCTGCACTAAGTTAGCAGTCTGGTTGTGCACACAATTAATCAGACTTTGAGTAAACCACACTGCATGGTATAGAAGGGCCCAGGTGGTATCTCCCTTTGTCCCTTGTCTCCTAAGGCAGCTTCACACTTAATAATGAATTGAGGAACTCTGTGAAAAGCTTTTAAAGGCATCTCTAAGAAGCCCATGTAAGTTGCTTTATTGTTAACAGGTGGGATGTTCTCAAAGAAAGTGAATCTAGTCAGTCCATTTATCCAAGAAAAAACAAAATGAATACCCAATACACAATGCCCAAAGCACACTACCAAATAAACAAAAGAGTTACAGAGCAGCTATTTAGTTTCTTAAAGACAGTTGGTGGCAGGGATTTACATATAATCTGAACCTATGCTTACAGGAACCTGTTGCCAGTTGAGAATCTGCAATGGACCCATCTCGGGCACAATGCACGGCCCCATGACCTGAAGTCTCAGTGCTGCATAGGTAATGTACCATTGCTTGGTACATGCTGTCACATGCACTTTCTTGGTCAATGCTCACGAACACTGTGGATTCTTACTAACCACTTATCTATATCCCCTTCAGTCTTCTCATTCTACAGATGGGAAAACTGACCCCCAAAGCCACAGTACACAGTGGAGGGAACTGGGGAAATCTCACCTGCCAGGCTCCCAAGCACCTCCCTTAGCAGTTGGGGTCATTTCTTTCCCATCTACCAGTGTCTAAAGACATACTCCTCCAAAACAGAGAGAGGAGAGTGTGTGTTGCAGGGAGACCTATCTGGATCCTCCTGGAAGGGCTGGCAGCTGCCTTGTATGTAGACGCTCAAGTGCCCAGGTCAGCTCCCTGAACACAGAGTGGAGATAGATTTGATTTTGCTGTTGGCTACCCAGGGACCTCTACAGCTGCATGGCTTCCCTGCCACTGCTTGGTGGACATAAGCTGAGCCTTCACAATCTGGCTGGGGCCTTGATGAGGCTGAATTAGAAACTGAAACACCAGCAGGTTCGTTCCTCTTCCAGAAGGTACCAAATGGTCCTTAGAGCCCCTCCGTGGGAGGCCTTCCTGGCCCCTCAAGGCTCTGTCCTCAGCTCTTGATGCCACATGCCTCTCCTGTAGATTGAGCACCTGCTCTGTCAGGAAACCACCTCTGTTCCTGAGAAGGGAGTTCTACGAGATTCCAGCTGTGACACCACTGTGACAGGAACTACAGTATATTATTACACCTTGTTATGTTGCCACCACATTTGAATTGACATCTATTGATGTAAGCACAAGGGCTGATGCTAATTTCCCACTCTAAACCTCATTTAATGCCCCCATCCCAAGTGACTTCTGGATTGGAGGGACACTACTATCCCTCATCTTACAGACAGGATGCTGTCTACAGGCACAGGCAGGTCAGGAACTGGACCCAGCAGGCAGAGGCATTGAGGAAGGGGACTGAGATTTGAGCTCAGGATGCTGACGTGGCCATGCTGGGGCCTAAACCTATGAAGACGTCTGTGGTGCTGAGCATAGACTAGTTAAGCACAAGACCAGAGAGAAACATGCTCCAGGCAGGGCTGGTCCTGTGGGGAGCACAGCAAATAGGGGTGCACTTAGGGCTCCACAACCCAGCAAGCCATTCCTACCCATGGGTGCTGTGAGGGTGAGTGTAGGCCGTGGGTCAAATGTCCTCTGTGTTACTAAATAGGGATTAATGTCACTCTAGACACAAGTGAGGCAGGAAGGCTCACTTCAGCCCTGGATACAAGGACCCGAGGGAGAGCCCAGAGCCCCCAGGGACCCTGACATGCCTGCCTCCCTGTGAGAGCCACTGTCTCGTGCTACAGCCCGGCCACAGTGTGCCATTCCAAATGGGCTGGCTAATCGGCGCGCATCCATTATCATTAGCGCCTCTCTGCACCCAGGTACAAGAGGGGCTGCCAGGCGCTGGCTGCGGCTCGCTGAGCCTGGGGCCACGCTCCACTGCAAATGAGGACGAGGAACACCTGCTCCAGGGCTTCCAGGCCGCCACAGTCATCCTTCACATCTCATGCAACACTTGTTCTGTCAGAGCGCGGAGCTGGCACGGCGGGGGCAGCTCTCTGCCAGGCTCTGCCGCGCCCCCTCCCAGCCCTGCGCTCCTCTGCGCGAGATCAGCTTTGAATGGCTTTTCAAAGAAGTCTTTTAAAAATGTATCCATTTCATATTAGCCATTCAGTCATTATGTGAAGGGTTTAAAAATAAAGATGAAAAAACAAAACTTTGTCTCAAAAATGAACTTTTTTGGCAATTAAGATGGAGTTGTGAAATATTAATCGTCCACTAATGGGTTTCATCCTCCATCACAGCACTGATATGCTTTTCTCGGGATTTCTTGGAATGGATAGTGAAGGGCAAGTATATGGCTGTGGGCACCCAGGGATCTTTCCAGACACACATGATGTCCCTGTATCTTAGGAAAGGCTCTGATTTTCTAGACAAAGGCCAGCATCCTGAGACTCCCTGCAAGGAAGAGACTTCACAAGCCATCAGAAGAGTGGCTGGGGGCCTTCGGGCTGCCTTGCCTGTTTCTTCCCATCTGTGTAGGAACCTCAAAACCTTTCTGTCTCTCATACACACACAGGCACACACACACACACACACACACACACACATGCACACAAATGTGTACACATACCCCTATGTTTTTTCTGGTTGGAGAATTTCTGTTCTATGATAAGTTTATGAGCTGGAAACCTGTGAGCCTGTAAGGACTTCCTCACTGCTTGCCTGAGTTTCTACTACCTGTGGTCACTCCCACCTACTTGGCCCGAGCTAGATTTGAGGACAGAAGCCTTTTCAGAGAATGCTGGAACTAGTCCCTTAGTTTCTCCAGACAGTCTGCAGAGGGAGGAAGTCTAGCTTAGGGGACCTGGGAAGCACCTGTTCTACTCACTCCAGGGTTCTGTCCTCCTCCTTGGGGAAGATATTGTGTGTGCCCTTATGACCCACTGACAGATGCGTAGGGAAGGGTGATCCCCACCAGCTCCTAATTCAAACCTTGGCTCTGCCACTTGGAGATCGGGACTGTGCTTGGTTGTTCCTCACCCTTCTGTGGCCTAAGGACAGAAGTCAGACTCAGGAGCAGAGTGGGTGTTCAATGCATAAAGGTGAAATAAGGGTTTCTAAATAAGCTGCAAAACAAACCCAGGTTTGAGAGTCAGTGGTCACTGACCAGCAGTGTTAACTGTGTTTTCCTGGCTGCGTGTCCTGTGGTGAGTTCCCACACTCCTCTTTCTTCACCTATGACCAGAGATACAGATACCTCCCTCTAAGGTTCTTGGATCATGTAAACAAAGGCTCCATAACTAGCAATCCTCTTCCCTATTTCTCTGTAGGTGAGCCCCTTTAACTGCCTGTGTTTACTAAACCTGTTCTCAAGAAAAAATCTGCTATTAGTCGTTTATACTTCACCAGAAATTTAAGAAGAGACATTGAATCTTAATGGGAGCTGGGCACAGTGGCACATGCTGTAATCTCAGTTCTCTGGGAGGCAGAGGTAGAAGGACTGCAAGTTTGAGCTCAGCCTAGGTAACTTGGTGACTTAGCAACGCTGCATCTCAGAAGAACAACAACAAAAGGGTGCCCAGTGAAAATGCCCTGAGTTCATCCCCTAGTACTGCAAAAAATGAAACAAGAAAACAGACACTAATACCTTAATAGTAATTTGAATTTTAGGATTTCTTTAGCCAAGCAGTACGAGATCATTCTCTCTGTGATCTGGCACGCATGAATGCAGTCTCTGATCGCCAAACTCTGTGAGTGGGCATGTCCCTGTGACCTGTAGTCACCTGTGGGAGGACACATGCATTTGTATGAGAATGTTCATGTGTGTCTGTGCATGTTAGAAAATTGTGAGCTGAGCTGAACGTACTTTTCATACAATAACCAGAGCCTCTCCTTGACTTTGCAGAAGTCAAATTTAAACAAAGAACACACTCCTGCCATTGTTCTCCTTTGTGGACTCTTGCTTTATGACAAGGTGTTTTCTTATTCTCCACTGTAATCACAGGGCACATAGTGAGAGCAGGCCCATACTGAGGTCCTGGGATCAGGGCAGAGGTAGCTGAAGCAGGCAGCAGAAGCATAAGACACCCTCATCTCAAGGTAAATAGAGGAATATCTATAGATTTTTCCATGGAATGTATTCTTGCCACCAGCGTTGTGGAGACAAAAAAGGTAAACAGCCAGCAAAACTTTAACTCCACCATAAACTACTCAATTCTTTAGATGTGAAATACATGTGGTCTGTTTTTGGGAAACTTGACTCAGTAAGGAAGACCCAGTTCCTTTCCATATATGAGAAGGAGCATAATGTATAAACCAGCTTTAACTTTTACATCTCATTAACATATTTTAATTTATACATGATTTGTTTGAAAAAACAAAGAGGGGGGAAACTGCCCAGGGAAAGCTGTCCTGTGCTGCGAACTGCAGTGGTCACTATTTAGGAAGATACTATGTGTTTAGAAGAATACCATGTGAATGAATGGAACCTTCCAGGCATTTGCTTTCCAAGCCCTGATTTACCCTTGCCTGATATGGGCAACATTCCTCCAGACTGCTGAGTGGAGCCCTCCTGGGCTTAGGATGCCCTTACCTTACCCAGAATGGTCATAGGTAAAGGCCTCTTACACTGTTGGAGTCACACTTTTCTTGTTTGGGTCATGAAGTCAGGCAGTGAATTTCACTTACACATTGGATTTTTTTCTTTTGGCATTCAACTTAGTATTAGCCATTTTCCTGCTGTAACAGATTGTTATTGCTGTTTACCGTTGCTGGTGTTGGTGTTGGTGTTGGTGGTGTGTATGTGTGTGTGTGTGTGTGTGATGTTAGCTAAGAGTTTGATGGTGGTTGTGAAAAATTCACCTCCTTATAAATGTGCTGCAGGGAAACAGCCACCCTCCCTGGCTCCCTTACGGTGTCCCTCCTTGACCTGCCTTCTGCTGTCATGCCCTTGGAGCTACGCTCTGCACACTTGTACATATTTGCATGTTATCCCTGGAATGTAGATGGAAGAAGAGTCAAAGACATTTTATTCTATAGATCACAAACTTGAGCCTCATCACAGGGCCAAGACCCTGACCCCAGTGCTTCTACCTACCTCATGTCATGACTCCTGTCAGCAATGCATGAACAATATAGTAGCATCCTTGCTTTGCATCTTTTTTTTTTTTTTTTTTTGGTTTTTCTCCGGTACCAGGAACCGAACTCACGACCTTGCGCTTGCCAGGCAGGCGCTTTTGCCACTGAGCTAAATCCCCAGGCCCTGCATCTATTTTTTTAACCCCAGAAATGGTGGTCCTTGACTTACCAAACTGGATGACTCTGCAAAGTTTTCCCTCTGGATCCCCACCACAGCCATGCAAGGGTGGCTCTTCCATCACTCCAGCTGTACATGAAGATTAAGAGGCTGCCAGAGGCTGAGTGGCTGTGTTGTCCTAGAGCTGGGATTTGAACACTGATAGTGCGCTCATGGAGCTTCTCACCCTGCTCTGCAGGGCTGACTATGGAGCAGAGAGCTCAGGGGCACAGGGATCACCTCCCAGGCCTTATTTTTTTCAGATACATGTGACCCATTTGGGTCTCCCTTCCTCTAAAAAAAGCTTCAAATTCCATAGTGTGGGAGCAGTGAAGGATCTTTGAAACCCAAATCCTTCAGCTGAACACATTGCCTGGGACACAGCCCAAACCTCTCAGTGAAAAGGGAAGGGGACAGAAGGCCTGACTGGGACCATGCCAGTGCTCCCTTGCCTCACACTTTCCCTATGCTGCAGAAGTAGCACAGGAGACCAGGGAGCATCTTAGAAATCTGCATTCCTGGCAACAACTCCTGCCATCCTTATTTCTCCAACCCAGTTTTTTTTTTCTTTTTTAAAAAAAAAGAACAACAGAATCTAAGGAGAAAAGGAAGACAGCCCAGGGAGTTAGAAGTGGGTATGACTCCCACCCCCATGCACTGCCACAGGGTAGGTTTAGCAGGCTCTCTGGCCAGGCTAGCTCACAGTGGAAATGGGACTTTCTGGAAAAAAACAACCAAACCAAAAAAGGCAACAACTGGAATAAATCCTGGCTTGTTTTGATCTCTCCCTAAGGAAGGTGGGGTTGTTGGGTGGGTTGGGTTTTCTGACTTTACCTCCCTGTCTTTGCTTCTGACAGGGACAGAGCTGAAGGAAGATGGCCTCTGGAATCAGAATTCCTGCTGCCACCCTTCCTGCACCCAGCACACCCACCACCCTCAGAGAAAGTGGCGCAGCCCAAGGGATCCTTCTATCATCCTGGACTCCAGGCACTCCTCTCCCAGCAAGCCATCCTGCAGGCTGCTGCGTGTGTGGGGATTAATGTCCCCAGTGTGGCAGGTCAGTGCGGTGCACAAAGGCCAGCATTAATTGACAAATTAAAGCCAAGCAAACCTGGGCAGGTGAGAGGAAATCTCTGAGCTTGATCAAAAACATATTTCTGTTTCAGGTCTAAATAATGGGCTACAGGGAGGCACATCTGTAAATTATACAGGAAGCCTTCTTCAACAACTGATTCACCCTGACAGTTTTACTGGAGTATATGAAAATGAGTATTAAAGATGTGATCTGTAGGCTTCCTTCCAGGAATTCCAATCTGGTTTCAATAAAATGGGAACACTGATTGGAAGTGAAGTTGCCTTCCGGTTTTGCCTTTGGCTATTACGTGCTCATTCGTGAAATGACTGAATTCCACAACTACTTTTAATATTCACCTTTTGAGTTCATCTCCCGCACTGGACACATTGGAATGATTAAAATAGCATTGGCTCCCCACGCTGGGTGCTCTCTAATTTAAAACAGTCCAGGTGCTGAAGACAAATGAGTCCTCCTGGTAAGTCCATTCTTTCTTTGCATGAAGTTGCTTTGCAGCACATCGAGGGCAGAATATTAATAGTAAAAAAAATTAAATAAAATAATGCTGCTTGAGTAGATGCCTGGGGGAAAAGATTAAAGTTTGGTGCAGGCAGAACTTGTGCTTTGTGTGGGATTGTGCTGGTTGCATTTGTTTCTGGGATTTTCTGCTTGAATGCTATACCTACAACTGCAGTCATAGCCAGGCAACGCTCTGGCCTCCCCAGGGCTGTCCTCTTTGTCAGCCAAGTGCTCAGAACTGGCCATGGTTTGACCTTTCCAGCAGGGAGGGAGAATTATACTGAGTCACCTGCAAGAGGCTACCTCTCTTCTG